GTTATCCAATGCAAATGGGTCAGATCTCAGTGGAGAATCTGGCACTGAGATTCCCGCTTTATCATCTGAGGGTCTGAGGATCGTGATGCCAAAACATCTCTCTTCAGCTTTATCTTGTCTTTAAGTACTATTTCTCTATTTCAAATGTTTTTCTGCTTTATTTATGGCTCAAATTTACTAGTCACTATTGGGTTTTCGCCAAGTTGTTTTAAGAAGGCACACGCTCAAGAGCTCTCAGTGGCCGTAAATCTGTTCTTCCTCCATTAGGCTCATCCCTTTTTTTTCTCATGTAGTTAACCGTGGGAGCCATGGTGTACTTTTGCAATCTAGCCCACAAAGGAAAAGAACAACTTCCAAGAGTTGAAATAAATTCAGTCAACTTAGTTTAAAAAATATTAGTAATTATGGCTTTATCTAAATATAGGAGAGGCAGATATCATTTTAAGTTCCTTAAATAACTTCTCTAATTCATGCACCTCTGTTCTGCCCTGCTATTCAAGTTCTAATCCTAGAACATGGCTGCATTGTGGCTTTATGATGTGCCCATTTTACCTTCACTCTAAAAATCCAGCATTGGTGTAGTCATATGTTTTGATCCATAGGCAGAGCAGTTTCTGGTCATAAAAAAAGTTTTCTGAAAGGTTCCCAGGCCATTCTTGTATCTAGAGTTAATAATATATGGGGTGGGTGTTACGAAGGTGTCTAAATTTGCCAAGATTATGTTCCATTTGCAGATGAATGATTGAAACAGAAAGGGTAGCACAATATTTTTGGATTCTGTGTAATTAAAATAGGTAATACTGAAAGGGCTGTGATACTGTTTACTTTGGATGGTAATTTTTAAGATTTTAATTACACTTCCTGCATTTGCCTTTTTAATCAGTTGTGCTGTGACCCTTACTTCACCCATATTTGTAAAGTGCCTTGAGAGAACTTTGCTGGCTTAGTGACCTCTCTGAACACAGGGCTATTCAGAAAGCTAGCTGATGGGCAGTTTATTTAGTAGCATTATAGATAATTTTACAGTGATTGAAATTTGAGACATAACCTTGGCTGCTCATTGCCATGATGACAGCATTAGGACAAATCATGGGGGTGATGGTCAAAACTCCTGGGTTAAAGAGAGAACAATGTAGAATAAAATATATTGAATGCACAAATAATAATGGCCTGAACAGCCTGAAAAAAAGCAGCTCTTAAGTGATCTAGCTTAGCTTCCAGGTCATGCCTGTGATTTCGTTGAATGTTGTTCACTGAAGACAGCTGCATAGAGAGAAGCTTGTTTCCAGAAACAAATGGGTTAAACTAGTCTTGTGCCAATAACTAATTACAAACTATTCTCTTGTTATCTAGCAAAATCTCACCCCTTGCTATACAATATGGCTAACTCTTAGATGAACATAAGTGGAAGTTGCTGCATGCTTTCCTAGCAAACAGTTTTTTGCACATAGACGTTTTTATCGCTGCTCAGTCTCTGTTGAGGTGGCTATGCTGCCCATGCTGTGATTATTGCAAATATTTTTTTACCTTGAAGAATCCATTTCTGCTACCAGTGTGAATTGTTGTAAGACTGAACTTCTTGCTTGTAGATTTCCTGCAGCTAGCTTAGCAGAATTCTCCTTAGATCTTGAACTCTATACTTTAATTTAAAATGTTTGTTACTCATACGTAAAAGGCTGCATTATGTTACTAAATACACCATATGGGCCTGTTAAAACTGTTTGTGCTTTACTACCAATGCTTTTAATATAATACATGTAAGCAGCATTATTATTTGCGTGGGTAGCAGAATGTTAACTGCGAAAATATAAGCTTCACAATTATGATCTGCTGATTATTTCACCTTCCTAAAGGATGTAATGCTTTAACGCGTGAGGCACTTCAAGACTGCCAATAGCAACCTCAATTATGTTTTCGGGCTTGTTCATATACACAGAGGTATGGTACTGTTGTCTGGATTTCCCGATTGACTCCACTGTGACTGAAGGAAAGTCATGTAGGCTAGCATTTTAAAAGAAGTCTAATGGTTAAAAACCTAAAACTCAATGAAATTCATTGGGAATTGGGTGCCTAGCTTCTTTATATGTCTTTGAAAATCCAGGCCTAACTATCCCTCAATTTTTCTCAATGTATGGCATATAGATGCTTCAATAACTACCTCATAAGGCCTCATAAATATGACTTAGTTAATGGCCACATTCAGTACATTGGGGCTGAATGGGCAGTAGTCTAGTCCATAAGAGTAAACCATTGTGAAGATGGGATTAGAGCTGAGCGAATAACAGATTCTTAAAAACAAAATAATAATGAAAATCCTTTTGGGCCAAACTGAATGATTTTGATTCACCAAAAATCTAAAAAAAAAAAAAAAAAAGGTAAAAAGATAAAAATAGCATTTCTTGTCAAATGAAATGGTCTGTTAGCCATTAAACTAAATGTTTCGTTTAGATGTTGAGCATTTTTTAATGTTTTAAAATTTTTAAAAATAAAAGGTAACTTCAAAAGTTTCAAAATGGACTGAATAATAGAAACTGTTTTGAAAATATCAAAATGAAACATTCTGATTTTTAAAAAAAAATTTTTTGACTGAAAACGTGGTGACATTAACAAGAAATTGTGAAATGTTTTGGTGTCTGCATTTTTTTTTCCTGAAGAAAAGTTTTAGTATAAAATTTTCATCCAGCTCTAGATGAGATGTTGTCCTCTACTTGCTGGTCCATAGAGGAAGTGACCCAGAGCTACTGTCAACTATGCAAGGATTCTTGTAGAAAAAGTAATAGAAGTCTGTGGTTTTGGATCAGAGTTCCAAATCCAATTTCCCTAGATATGAGAATTAATATAATTGTCTGTTGTCACTAGAACATGGATTGTGAAAAGTGGAAGTACACTTCAGATGCATGTTGTCTTATAACATTATTGAACAATTCTATTTAGATTTATTACAGCATAATCTGTTTAAAAATTTATTTGAAAATGGAAGATTTCCATGGATCTGAAAGTTAGTAGAAGTTTGGCTGTTGATTTAAATGGCATCAGCACTGGTGAAACATGATTTTTTCCACTTATGATGGGCAGCAGCTAAATCCTGATTATCTTCTTATAAATGTAAGGGAAAGTAAGCTATTCAGCACACAACTGTTTTTTGGAAGGGGTAATGTCTAGTTTTTTTTACACTCACATTTCTTCCATGAAATTTAAATGATCAAATACCTCTCTCGAAATTTCATTTAAAAAAAGATACTGCTTGCACTGCTATCTGTTGATTTCATTTCCTGGTAATCTTTTTTGTGTAAATTTGCTTGTTTTATTTTTTTGAGGCTGCTTGCTGTTTATGGTAGGGACTTAATCTCTTAATCTGTTGTTTTTCAATTAATCTATTTGTGAAGAGAAAGTTTAGCTTTTATACAAAATCATTGCTGATTGGCTTTTGACCAAATTTCACAAAAAAGCCAGTTTTGGACAGAAATCAAATCTGGAAAATTTCAGTTCCACAATTGAATTTTTTTAGATGGAAGTTATGAGTGACTGAAAACAGTCTTACGTAGCTTTACCTAGTGGTTGCTGTATTGTCCGAATACTACTACTAGTTTGGTTTTTTTAGATAGTGAGTTGGTTACTATGAAGGTTGGGTATACTGGTTTTACAGTCTATAAAATTAGTGCTGATTGGAAATTTAGCTGAAACTACAGTACCTTCTAGACAGGCCTTTCAGTCATGTTTAACCCCCATGATTTAGATTTGGTTGGGACAAAACAGGTTCTAAAATGGCCTTGTAGGCCAGCATCGACATGACCAAACTATGTTACATCCATGTTCTAAATCTATGTTCTAGGGTTATATCTATCTTGAGCGAGAACATGATATAGCTAATGCATTTTTGGCCCTGTGTCCCAATTTACTGGACAAAATGTCAGAACTAGGTTGAAAAATCTGCTTGAACATTTGTGGAGGCTCAAGGAGTTGAGTTGCCTTTTTGTAAATGATTTTGTACATCTTCATGTTCCCTGGATTTGAGTGGAGCTGGAAACAGAAGCATCATTATGCATGGGAAAGGACATTTTGGGCAGAATATTCAGCCTATGCCAAAATTAGGATCTATTGATGATCAAAATGGATTCAAGATGACCATCTGTAAGAAGACTTTGGGAAAATATTTGGGCACTTGGATGATTTAAAACTTACATATTTGGTTATTACTACTAAACAGGCTGTGCTGAAGCCTTTGTGGAATGAAGCTGTTATGCTGTTTGGTCAGAGAGAATCTTAACTGGGAAAAACAACTTCAAAAGAAAAGCACACTACACTTTCACACACGTTTTCTAGCAAATTGTGGTCTTCAAAATGTGTAACAGTGGCTAATAAATAATGGTCTTGAATTCTGATTAGTTGGCACTGTTTGATTACATTTCTATTTGGTGATATAGGTGGGTCTTATAAGATACCAAACCGTGACAAAAATCATTTATAGGTGTAGGCTACATATGGTGTTAAATACCACCAACCTAATTGAAGACCAACATGGAGAATACATAGCACCTTGAAAAGATGAAGCTGCAGTAATTCACCAGTGCAGTATTAATGCTTGAAAATGCAGCCTCCAATATGCTACAATATGATATTTCTCCCATCAAAGATAAATTGAAAGGAAAAATATATTGCGAAACTTCTTGTCATTTTAGTGACTTTTAAAGTAAAATTCTAACTGTTTGTTCCCAAACCCACTTGTCAGGTGAGATTATTTATGTCTTTAGCACCAGAAAGTTTTATTCCCTAAAGCCTTTTACAAGAAAAAATCAGAAAACTTTATTATGTTGTGTAAAGCTGAAAAACTCTCCTTAGAACAATGGACATTGGGTACATACAATGGGTGAAATATCTATGTACCTATTATTGTGTCACCTTCTATGTATTTTAATTTTCAATTAACATTGGATTGGGAATGGTTATGGGTATGGCAGTTTCTGCTGCTAAAGCTGTAACATGAATTTATCTTTATACAGGTTATATGAAGGAAAAGAACAAACAGAATTTGAGGAATCTATGAGGAGACTCTTTGAATCCATCAACAACCTTATGAAAAGCCAGTATAAAACTACCATTTTGTTGCAGGTTGGTACTTCAGAAACAACAATATGTCTTGTTTATTGACATTGGAGTGGTGATGATACATTTAGATTATTTATTCTTTACCCATTACATATCTATTCCTTCTTAACTGGCAGAGCAAAGTTGGACAGTTTGTTTAATTACTTTGAAGTCCAAGGTTGACAAGTTTAGAGGAAGGCACATGGTTTGTATACCTTTAAAGGAGGTAGCTGGTTAAATAGCTAAAACCCAGATGCTGGGATTTTCCAACGATGCTATAGGAGGTAGGCCCCCAGTTCCTCTTGAATTTCAATGGGAATAGAATACCTAACCCTTAGGAAAATGCAAGCCAGAGATCCTTAAGGTCAAGGATCTTAAAGCATATTAATTAAACAATCTGTCCCAACTCACAGTTAGCCCAGACACTCTGATTTCCTTTCCCAGACCTGAGAAAGAGCTCTCTAACTCAAAAAGCTTGTACCATCCAACAACAGACATTGGTCCAATAAGATAATGTCTTACTTACCTTGTGTGTCTCAATTTAAAAATAGACATTTTGGTATCTGAGCTTTTACAATGAGTTATCTAGACAGCAGAAACAACTGACTATAGGTTGAAGGCTTTGCAGTCACGTAAATGTCTGTGACTCTTTATCATCCACAGAGACTCGCAGCTGTGAATAAACATAAGGTACTTGCAAGAAAATCAGGAAGAGCGGGGTTTACTAAGATATATCCTACTCTGGATAAATCATAAATTATATAATTTTGTTGCTACTAGTAGCAACAAAAATCTGAAGTTTAAGTGTGATCTTATAGGAGGATATATTTGTTTTCAGGCAGGATGGTAACATTAGCATTTTATGAACCCTTTAATGCCCCATTCTTTATACTGTTGAGTTTGATTTTTTTGTTTTGCTTAGTTCTCTGTTTTGGTATCTTTGATTTAAAATACAGTGGAAATGGAAGACTAAGCAGAGAAAATTTGCAGCTGTATTTGATTCATTTCAATGATCCTTTTGGAGTTACATTTCCCCTGACGCTTTCCTTAGAAGAGCACAGAGCTATAAAGGAACTAAAAACATAAATCTGTTTTCACCTGAATAAAAACATGCTTCCAATAATATTAATGTGTTTGAAAGGAATTCAGGATGTTCTGTACCTTATATGACAAATGTATAGATGATTTGCCAGGAGCAGGCTAAGTATTTGGAACAAATTGCATCAGAAGCAGGATACTTTTTGGATTCTAAAAAAAATCTTTGCAACAAAGCAGTATCCAGAAGTATTCAGTGTAATCGTACTTCAGCACTACATAGTGTAATGGGTTGTCCTCTTATAACACACTGTTAATGTTAGAATATGAGGGAGATTCCCAAACCTGAGCCATTCTTTTTGGGTGACAGATCTGAGGAACTGTCCCAAACTGAGGTGTCATTAGAGGAGGTTTTGGAACAAATCGATAAACTAAACAGTAATAAGTCTCCAGGACCTCTTGGTATTCACCCAAGAGTTCGGAAGGAACTCAAATGTGAAATTGCAGGACTACTAACTGTCATCTGTAACCTACAATTTAAATCAGCTTTTGTACCAAATTACTGGAGGATAGCTAATGTGACGCCAATTTTTAAAAAGGGCTCCAGAGGTGACCCTGGCAACTGCAGGCCGGTAAGCCTCACTTCAGTACCAGGCAAATTGGTTGAAACTATCGTAACAAACAAAATTGTCAGACACATGGATGAACATAATTTGTTGGGAAATAGTCAACATGGTTTTTGTAAAGGGAAATCATGCCTCACTAATCTACTAGAATTCTTTGAGGGGGTCAACAGACATGCAGACAAAGGAGATCCAGTGGATATAGTGTATTTAGATTTTAAAAAACCTTTGACAAGGTCCCTCACCAAAGGCTCTTAAGCAAAATAAGCAATCATGGGATAAGAGGGAAGGTTCTCTCATGGATTGGTAACTGGTTAAAAGATAGGAAACAAAGGGTAGGAATAAATGGTCAGTTTTCAGAATGGAGAGAGGTAAATAGTGGTGTCCTGCAGGGATCTGTACTGGGCCCAGTCCTATTTAACATATTCATAAACGATCTGGAAAAAGGGGTAACAGTGAGGTGGCAAAATTTGCAGATGATACAAAACTACTCAAGATAGTTAAATCCCAGGCAGACCGCAAAGAGCTACAAAAGGATCTCACAAAACTGGGTGACTGGGCAACAAAATGGCAGATGAAATTTAATGTTGATAAATGCAAAGTAATGCACATTGGAAAACATAATCCTAACTATACATATACAATGATGGGGTCTAAATTAGCTGTTACCACTCAAGAGAGAGATCTTGGAGTCATTGTGGATAGTTCTCTGAAATCATCCACTCAATGTGCAGCGGCAGTCAAAAAAGCGAACAAAATGTTGTGAATCATCAATAAAGGGATAGATAATAAGACAGAAAATATCACATTGCCTCAATATAAATCCATGGTACGCTCACATCTTGAATATTGCATGCGGATGTGGTTGCCCCATCTCAAAAAAGATATATTGGAATTGGAAAAGGTTCAGAAAAGGGCAACAAAAATGATTAGGGGTATGGAACGGCTTCCGTATAAGGAGAGATTAATAAGACTGGACTTTTCATCTTGGAAAATAGTTGACTAAGGGGAGATATGATAGAGGTCTATAAAATCATGAGTGGTATAGAGAAAATAAATAAGGAAGTGTTATTTACTCCTTCTCATAATACAAGAACAAGGGGCCACCAAATGAAATTAATAGGTAGCAGGTTTAAAACAAACACCAGAAAGTATTTTTTCACACAACGCACTGTCAACCTCTGGAACTCCTTGCCAGAGGGCGTTGTGAGGGCCAATACTATAACGGGGTTCAAAAGGGAGCTAGATAGATTCATGGAAGATAGGTCCATCAATGGCTATTAGCCAGGATGGGCAGGAATGGTGTCCCTATCCTGTTTGCCAGAAGCTGGGATTGGGTGACAGGGCATGGATCACTTGATGATAACCTGTCTGTTCATTCCCTTTGGGGCACCTGCCATTGGCCACTGTCAGAGGACAGGATACTGGGCTTGATGGACCTTTGGTCTGACCCAGTATTACCGTTCTTATGTTCTTATAATATCTTAATATCTGTATTGCATAGCATTTAGTTTCTGTGTATTCAAGCTTGTTAGATTGAGATCTCTGGAGTAAAGTAGTTAAATACTTTTGAGGGATTCATATTGCACAGGGTCTGCATCATGTAAGTACTTAAACCCATTGGTTAATCAGTGAAAATGATCAAAATATATATGCAGGATTTCCCATACGATGAATGGAAGGAGATCTTCAACAAAAGGTGTTCTCCTGGGGGATTCTTAATCCTGGCTCTTTTACTTTGAGATGTTAAAAATCACATCTTTTAAATCTTTTGATACCTTCTAACACCACTTAGGCTGTTTCAATGAAGTCTCTAATAGAGACATGAACAAAATTTTACAGACGTGATGCCTGACAATGTTTGGGGATATTTTTAGTTCTGCTTGAGTGCAAACATTTTGGTTAAAAATGTTCTTTGTTTTCACAAGAATGAAAAACAGGCTTCATGATCAGACTGAACAACTCAAGTGAATTCCGCTAGCCATGGGAAACTTGTCTAGTTAGCAATTTGTGTCATCCCCAAGATAAGCAGAATATCTTTTGTTCCGTGTGGAAAATGGATTAGCGATGGGAATAAGGGACCACTATCCCACGTTTGATTAATGTTGGGTTACGTGGGATGGGAGTGGAAGTTAAGACAGAATTTGGTTCTGCAGCCAACTGAGTTACTCATAAAAAAATAAATTAGCCACACTGCAACAGTCATTTAAAAGATATACATAGTAGCAGTAATATTGCCATACATATTTATGGATACATTGTTCATGTTTAGGAGGATGATTTCCATATACTGTGCTGGATTTTTAAAATTGCACCTGTCTGGCAGAAGAGTTGCTGTCATGCAGGGTGAATACCATTGAGTATGGTTTTGAAAATATAAAAGAATATTTAAAAGTTCCTTTCCCTCAGGGCATGAGGAATTTTAAGGCTGTACAGGTGTGTATGTACTGGAATAAGTAGGTAATGATATGGTAAACTGATGGAATGGCTATCTGTACTGTGTTTTTATGCTTTTGTTAGTTATAACAATTTTAAGCATGAATTTTGTCTTTTCTAATGAGTTATATCAAGTATGAAAAAGGTATTTTTTTGTGGTAAAGAAACAATTTCCACATATAAACATGCCTTTTGTTATGTTTAATTATCCTCTTCCACTACTGTATGATTCAGAATAAAAATAAATGCTTTTGTTTTAAGCCCAGACAGAGCAAGGCAGATCTGGTTTGGCTGAGCCCCTGATTTTATCAGAACATCATAGATTCAGCACAAAATTGATAGTTCATACTCAGATTATTTTAAAAGATATAGCTGTCTGGAAGGTAGAACTGCCTTAAACATGCCTAAATCCAATAAATAATGATCAATGAATGAATATTTAAAGAACTCAAAGGGAGAGGTTGAGACCTCAAGGAAGAGAAATGCCTTTTAACTCAGGTTTCTGCAGCAAGAAATAAAGTACCAAGTGTATATTAGAAAAGCTAGACTCTAGAATGGAAATCCACAGCAAATGCATATGTGAACTGACTCAAAATTAGATCAGCTGACCACCTGAATGGTAAAACTAGAATATATAATAAAGGGTGCGGGAATACTACTTTAAATCTTGGTGATCAAGGGTGTTAACTTTTGCTTAGATTTTCCCTGCTCGTGAGAGAGGTGGAAGTGTCAGATTTAGCACTGGAAAAGCCAGTGCCCAGGAGAAATTTTTTCTGTAAAGCTATCTTGAGAATATGGTGAAAAAGAATCATTGGCCTTAAGATCACTCTGGTGGTTGGATCAGTTCCAAGAGGGACACTGCTCAAGAATCCTTGTAGCTCCTGACTTGAAAACACTTCCTGTGAAGCAGCAAAAAAGAATCTAGTTTTC